TGGGGGATTTCTGGAAACAAAAGTGGGGAGGTGTTCTTTATCATCGCTGCTCTCCAGAAGCGCAGGGCTCAGGTGTAGTCAGCACTGTCAAGTGGGCAAGTGAAGAAGGATCTGTGTACAGCGGGGCTCATGCTGTCCTCCCCATCTAGTTACAGTTACTCTTTTAGAAATGGTTTATTCCATCTCTGAAATATGGATCCCACTGTTGTGGGACACTGCTGTCCCCAAGTGGTGGTACCTATGTAGTGACTGCCAAACCTCAGAATGGAAAAGAAACTACATCCTTTTTCAGACTCCTGTAGGCTGTGTGTACCCTCGGAGTGTGCAAGAAAAGCCTCTGGGATGCAGGAAGAAAATACCATGATTCCCACTTCATTTTATTTTTATTGAAAAATGCAAGCAAGAATTTAAACTTTACTGATATTTATCATACTGCCAGTTTGCACTGGGTTCTTTACTCTGAATCTGCCACACGTTGCCTTCTCAGAGAAGAGTAGAAGCTTCACACACTGGCAGAGTTCCTCTCTGGACCCCTTCAGAGTGAAGTAACATATTGCAGATCGTGGGTGGTTGGTTAAATGCAGATAATATTACCTAGTTTCAACTAAACCTACCTTTACACAGTGGACTGGAGGCATTAGAGGACTCTTACAGAGAAACTGCTGGTTTAGAAAATAATCCTAATAGGGCATGAACCAGCAAACAGGAAGCCATGCATCACTGACAAGTATTTTTACAGTAGAAGTTTTTTTATCAGCTACTTGACAAGAAAAAATAAAAACAAAAATTTAACTTATTTTACCAGAGGTTGGTAAAAACATTCAAAATCGTCAACACTGTTTTGCTGTGACCTTTGACGCACAAATGAAAATGCTATACAAGAAATATGAATTTAGAAGGCATTGGGGGCCAGGTGGAGCCTCTTTCTTGAAGAGACACCCAACTTCTGGCATGGTCTGCTACTTATTTACTTGAATACACATTTGCCCTTTAGCAATGCATACAGGCATATCAAAGGTAAAGTTTGGTAAACAGTAAAAGGATTATCAGGTTAGGGAATTGCCTTGAGCCACCACTATCTCAACAATTGGGTGCTTAGCTTCAGCCCTGCTAACACCCAAGGTCCATTGGCCTTCCGAGTTCCTTGGTGCACTGACAGTATTGGCAAGCAGTGGCTTCCCACACTGTTTGAAATATGGATTCCCTTTAACTATTGTCAATATGAGCCTCACCCCAATTGCTGTGTAGGAAGAGGTTTCATGAGATAACTGTTTTGGTTATTGCAGCCACTTGCCCACTAAGATTTGAAATAAATTGAACTTAGATCCAGTTCTTTACATCACTATTTCATAGTTTTAACTCAGCCTTCTCAAAATTCATGAAATGCAGCACATACAGTCCCTGGTCCTCTCCCTGTTATAGTGGGACAGACCTGTGACCAGCATCTATGTACAGGTATGAGATATGTTAAAGAATAATTTTCAAAAAGGTGAACTCATGGCTTTCTGGCAAATATAAGATGAACGAGTGTCAAAGATGTTACTTAACTCATTAATTAAGTAAATGAAGGAACCAGTGAAGATGTTATAACCAATTCAAGAAGTAAGGTTATTTATTGCGTAAGATTTATAGGATGTACTGCTGATTAATATCCAGTTAGCCACCTTTTTTAAAAAAAAAATCGAACACTTCGTGAATTTGCATGTCATCCTTGTGCAGGGCTGTGCTAATTTTCTCTGTGTCCTTCCAATTTTAGTATATGTGCTGCTGAAGTGAGCACTAGCAACACATCTTTGGATGAAAGTTATTTGCATCTCTGCCATATTCTGTCCACCGACAAGTTATCTGCATCTCTTCCAGTCAAAAATCTCTGAAACCCGACAACCAATGGGTCCGGGCTGCCTATCCGTACTTGAGCCAATTAAGCAGAGACAGTGTTGAGTCATGTAGGAGTGTTTATTCCAATACTGCCAGCAGTATGGGAGAGCAGCAGGTCATCCACAAAAATCTGTTCTGCCCTACCCGATAAACCAGCTGCTTATATTGGATAGAAGGACAAAGATTACATGGGAAAGTAGGATTACAGGCCTGGGAAAGCAGGCAAGGTACAAGGGTTACAGGTTACAGGTAATGTGGGCTGGGGTCATAAAGGGTGGGCAAAGGGCAGATGCCTCTGGGACTAGATTGTTTCAGCAACAAGGTTGTTAATCTTTCTATAATGATAGGCAGTTCTCGGAAAAGGAGGATGGACTGCATTCCGATGTTGGCTCCCATGTCCCGGGGTGGACAACTCTCAGCCAGGTTAGAATGTGCTTTCTCTAATCAGAGCAGAACAATCACGGTTAACAGAGCAGGGTTAATATTTCTTATAATAATAGCTAGTCCCCACTATTCTGTTTCTGCCTCTAACATTACTAGAGGGAGAAATTTGAATTGACTTTGGTTTTAGGAATACTACTTCAATGGGCCTTTTGATTATGGAAAAGTAAAACTAAAGTCCCATTTTGGAATAGAAATGTCTCAGGCAATGGGTAGACAGGTTGTTTTGCTCAGTATTGTAAAACATTGTTTCCTCATGTACCTCCTTTCAGTACAAATATGTTGTAAGAACCTTTTTACAATGCACCTCTTGATAACATTATTTTCAAAAAATCAATATAATGCTCAAAATGTAACATACAAAAGTGGTAAAAAAAATAATTATAAAAATGTAGTTAATATGTACATGTTTGGCATGATCAGGTCAGAAGGTATAATGAATAGAGAGCTGGTTGGGCCTCTATGTAGGCTAATGAGTGCGATGGTCACCAGTGCATACGGAAACAGTTATGATAATACTGTCGCCAGACGGGACTGGGGCCTGCTGGTAGCATGTGGGTTCTTGATTTCATGCAGGAAAGGTTTCACAATGTAGTTCCAGGTGATTTTGAGAGTACGTTTATTAAAGCTGGGGACTGTGAAACAAGGAAGGGCGTAGGATAGAAGAAGCAACAGGAGAGAGCCTAGGGCGGTGCTGTGCTTGGCTCTCTAGAAATGCCACAGGAAAGAAGTGAGCCAAGGGGGGCTGCTTTAGCTCACTGGGATGTCAGAGAAAAGGGGGCCTTGGACACAGGTTCAGGAAGTTAGCCCAGGACCAGCTGCCACTGCACATTGCTCCCCTGATTACAAGTCTTGTGGGGACCCTTAGAGTTTAGGAGAAAGAAAGTAAAAAGTTCACAGATGTAATCTAGAGGCTCCCCCCCCACCCCCCATCTTTTGTCATGAGGGTTTTATCTCTCTTCTGTAGGTGAGAATCTTAGGGGAGGGTTTCAGCAGAATATTCATCAGTTTACCAAGTGCATTTTTAATACACTGATGCATCAAAATGAGCACATAGGGGAGTGCGGGATTATTTTCTGGCCAGCTTCACTGCTTTACTTTTATCTTGGGTCTCTCAGGCTCTAATTGGGTTTTTGTTATTTGTTTCCCTGACTTCATCCGTCCTTGGGTTTGGCTGGTACAAGTGGCTTTAATTGGGTCACTGTTCTCCATTTCCTGACCAGGGTGATTTAAGTGATTTATACTATGGTTAGGGGGAGAGGTATAAACCATTTGCTCTAGAATGTCCTTGGTTAGGGAAGATAAGGTCTTGGGATTCACTAGCTGGCTGTAAGTAGTTCACATTGTTTAATTATTTTGTCTCAGTTTCCCATTCCACTTGCCCAGGAATTTCCCTAGCTTCTTACAATTCTGTCGCAATATCACCAACTCAAATACCATAACCTACCATAACTGAAGTTGCCTTCAGAGAAAGGATTTTCCAAATGGTGAATAACTAAATAAAATCCTGAGCCAGGTAAAGCACAATCTTTCCCAGATTTTCACAGTGGATGCATTCCTGGAAAATTTAGTGTCTAGTAAAACCATGCAAAAATATTTTGCTTATATGTGAAACAAAATAAGGTTTAAGCTCAGATAATTTTAAACAGGTGTTTAAGCTCCATAAATGAGTAGAGGGACATAAAGTTCATGCTGGCTGAGGGACAATGTTGCATTGTGAGACTCTTCTACACATCTAGTGTCCCAGATCCCCACCTACTAAATGACAGTAGTGCTCATACAAATCCCTTCACTTCAAAATCCTAGTCCTTGGGACAGTCAAAAAAACTTTCAAAAATTTCCCTCTAGAGGGCAGTATAATTCCTATGGAGCAGTGGTTCTCAACCTTCTGGCCCTTTATTTATATTTATTAGGTTTTATTATTTATTTATTTATTTATTTATTTATTTATTTATTACAAATGTGTCCTCATCCCCCCCCTTTACCCCCAACCCTCCCCCCCCCCCCCCCCCGCACACTCATGCTCCCATCCCCCTGTTGTCCATGTCCATTGGTTTGGCTTATATAAGTGCATACAAGTCCTTCAGTTGATCTCTTCCCCTTACCCCCTCCCTCCCCTACTTTCCTTCTGGGAATTGATAGCCTGATCACTGTTTCTCAGTCTTTGGATCTGTCCCTGTTCATCAGTCTTTGTTGTTCTCTATAATCCACAAAGGAGTGAGATCATGTGGTATTTATCTTTCTCTGACTGGCTTATTTCACTTAGCATAATGCTCTCCAGTTCCATCCATGCTGTTGCAAAAGGCAAGAGTTCCTTCTTTTCTACCGCAGCGTAGTATTCCATTGTGTAGATGTACCACAGTTTTCTAATCCACTCATCTGTTGATGGGCACTTAGGCTGTTTCCAAATCTTAGCTATGGTGAATTGTGCTGCTATGAATATAGGGGTGCATATATCCTTTCTGATTGGTGTTTCTGGTTTCTTGGGATATATTCCTAGTAGTGGGATCACTGGGTCAAACGGGAGTTTCATTTTTAGCTTTTTGAGGAAGCTCCATACTGTTCTCCACAGTAGCTGCACCAGTCTGCATTCCCACCAGCAGTGCAGAAGGGTTCCTTTTTCTCCACATCCTCTCCAACACTTGTTGTTTGTTGATTTGTTGATGATAGCCATTCTGACAGGTGT